GGACACTGTTCTCACCGTCGCTCCTGCTTAGGAGCGGCTGCGGCTCCCTTATGTGGCACTTATTCCCACTCTGGGCGAGCCCCTCCCGGAGTGAGCTGCCCTCCTTGTAGCTCTGCTTTTCCAGGACTGCAGAGGGACCACAGGACAATGACTAACAGCACATGGGTGTGGCTCCAGCTTATCTGGCACTGGGTTCTGTGACAGCTGGTGACTGCGTGTCCCTGCACATCTTGAATCTACCTCAGTTCCTCTTTGTGTCTTCATCTTGAAGGAGAATAGGGTGCTTTGGGTAAATCTAGGCGAATGACCTTGTATTCCAGCTGTTAGGCACTCCTAATGATTAATGTGTCTTCCTGACCCGGCGCTTAAGGAGACACAGAAAAAGAGGCAGTTGCCAGGCTTGACACTGCTCTCAGTTACCCGTTGGGGATCTGCAGACCCAGCCTCTAAGTCCCTGTTACAACTGGATTTTCTCTTTCTACAATCGCAGAATGTGGGGCATTGTAATTTTACAATATTGGCCATTCGGATCCATCTTTCTTTCCTTAGTCTCAAAATATGTGGGCATGGAGTATTTGTTCTCTAGCATTACTCATTCATCGACAGCCAGAAACCTGTCTTCCACAGTCCTGTGCATTTTTGCCCTTTGCTATTAATGATCACAGTCTACCGAAGAGCACACGAGGATCTTGTGAATGATCTGGCTGCATTTCAGTGCAGTTCCTCTCGTTTCTGCTCTCTGGTGAGCACCTTCTTGGTTTTATTCTCAACTCTAATGCCAGGGTCACTGGAAGCCTTTGAGATCTCCAATCAGAACCGAGCTCTTGAATTTAAGCAAGGCGGATGTGCTGCCACCCCAGACCTGCTCTGGCAGGAGCTCCTTGTCCTCTCCTGCACATGCAAAGTTCCTGGGAAGCCAGCATGCACTTTACATGCTTGTATTTCTTTTATTATCTCAATCATGCTTGTGACTGCCTGACAAGGAACAAGGACTCTTATTTCTCTTCTTGACAGTATTAACATTTTGGGGAGAAACTTGTCTATCCTGCAACAAACAGGGTTTTCAAGAGTGACTGAAAGTTATTTTCTTAGCTTTAAATAGAGGACCTTTTGAAATATTTCTAAAATGTTTAAGTTTCTAGAAAATCTAAACCCAGGTATTATATTTTAAAAATACTTTTTTATGTGAAATACCAAGATAAGCTATATTCACTTGCATTATTACTTGTATTTTCAACTTCCTTGCTTTTCTGCTTTTGTCTCATTTGGTTAAATATGACACTTTGAGAACAGACAATCATTAAAGATGAAATATAAATTTAGGTAATAAGTTAATTAAAAGACTTACATCACAGTACATCACAGCAAAAACCAATGCTGTCTGCTTTCTTTTGAAGCTTTTTACTGCACATGCTGGTGACATCCCAACACAGAGAGGACTCTAGGGAGTGATTTGACTTCGTCTCCTTAAATTTTTTTTTTTAAAGATGAGGCAGAAATGTATCTAATCTTGTACTTTTTGAAATTCTGGGCATTTGTGCAATCACCATGATTCCTTATTCTTCCGTCAGAATTACGATTTCTGTGAAGTTCCTGTGCCGTGCGTACCCCATCCTCTGTGGTATGTCCTAGTGCTTCAGTTAATGGACGACCTCCCTCCGAGGATGACTGGTTGATGCAAGACTGCATTTCTGCGTGCTGCTATACAGTGCATAAAATTGAATCGTCTAAGTCCTCCCACAGCTCTGCTGGTCTGCAGGGCTTCCTGAATGCCAGGGTCCAGCTCCCAGGCCTCTGGGTGGAGCCGCTCTGTGGGGAGCCTGCTAAGGGGTATTTGTCACATTTCTTAGGTGATACTGCGCTTGGAGAACCACAGTCCTAGGCGAAGAGCCACGTTCTGCTCCACTGTCCAGTAGAGGCTTTCCTCAGTGTGACTCCTTCCCTTTTATAATTAAACCATCCGGAGTGAGGAACTATATTCATTGCATTGGCCAAGAAACAGTGGAAAAGGATGTAAGCAATGAGTTCTATCCCTGAGCTAGCGATTCCTCCTACCAGGAATCAGGACAGGAGGTTTGGGAGGGGTGTGGGACTGAGTAGACATCACTTCTGACCTTCAGGACCCACCTCAGGTGGTTCACATCACTGTAACAACACCAGAGACCTGCTGTCCTAACACTCACGGATTTGCACCTCATACTCAGGAGAACAGAAAGTCGAGGTTAGGCCCACAAGTCAGGCCCAGGAGTTAGGGCCTCTCCTCTGTGCAGATGACTATCTTTTCATTGTGCTTTCTTGGGTAGAAAAAGGGAGCATCTATTTTGGATTTCTTTTTACAGTGAGTGGTACAGATCTCAACCAGGGAGCTCCACTTCTAGACCTTGTTGCATGGAAAGGCCCCAGCTCCAAATTCTATCACATTGTGAATTCATGCTTCAATCTATAAATTTTGAAGGACACAGGATTTAGTCTATAGCAGGACCTTAGACTTCAGTAGGGGGAGTACAGAAAGCGTAGATATACGTAGATTCATGTCCAATACGTATTGTAGCTAGGCGTTGGCAAAATGTGCACTGTAGGAAATCATGAATCATTGGATGCCGCTTTCATTTGGGCTTAGACTGAGTGCTATGGTGTACTCATCTTTGCAGTCATTTCTCTCTAGTTCTATTTTCATTCACATCCATAAAGCTAAATATGTATAGGCAGACAATAGCCTCAGTTCTTTAAGATAAAATCTCCAGTGAACAGTCTTACTGTCCAGACTGCCTTTATAAAATCTACTTACTTATTCACTCAAGCCAACATGGACTGCATGGACAGACATAGTCTTTACTTTTATAGAGTTTTAGCACAGGCATCGAGTGGGAGAGATGCATGCTTAATAAAAAATATCTATTCATAAATATGTGATTATAAATTTTGTTAGGAGGAAAAATGAAATTGTGGTGTGACAAGTCAGAAGAACATTGGGGTGAGAATCTGTGGGTCCATGAAGGAGTTCAAGAGAGAAAGTTCCATGTGAGAGCTACAAGGGAACTGTGTGCTGGGAGATGGAAGACGGCCACTTCGTCTGAAGCCCAGGACCTTGGGGGAAAAGTGTGAAGGGAGGTGGCGGGAGGGTGGGGCAGGTCCTTCACATCCTTGTAGGTTTCTGTTAGCTGCAGCTCAGCTAACTTACACTTTGGATTTTGCACGTGAGTTCTGTGTGCCTCTTTGTGCCTTACCCCTTTATATGTTTTTAATTGTAGTGGGCCTTTCTTTGTATGTAATCTCTCTTTGTATTTACTGAATCATTTGTACCGCATAAACTTCTGTATAGATGTATTTTTCATTATTATGATTGCTAAGAAAAAACAGTATTTCTGGAGAAATATAAATCATATATATAATTTTGAGTATCATGGTGGTAGTTCATTTGTTATTCTAAATTTTTTAAAGCCTTATAAGAATTATAGAATTCCTAATATTTTAGATAATATCAAAAGTAAGGATGAAAAAGAATAACTCAATTTTTAATGTAGCATGTGATTATTATTTTTCCTGGTAAAACTTTTCATTTGTTCATATGTAACTGCCTTGAAATTTGTACCTAAAAGACAAAGAAAGGTCACCCACCCCTCTAAGTCCTGGTTCTTTTGTCAAAAATGGACACAGTTAATGAGGTTTGTTTGGTACAGAACACATTCTCAGACATAGATAGTGATCCTTTCAGTGGAAACAAATTTGTTTGGCTTTACCAGGTTACCTAGCAATTAATAACAACTGGAAGCTGCAGGCCTGAGAGGTCACCAGCCTGGCGGCGTGCTCGCAGAAACTCCCAAAATACTGTGCAGAGACTAAAGCAGGCCATTATCTGACTACTTTGTTCATATTAATAAGCAATTTTCAAGAGAAGGGTGGCAAAATGGGGGCCATGCCACCCCAAGTAATCCATTTATTCTGCAATTTAACCGTATGCTGCAGTAACCTTGCATGGTGATTTTTACACATCAGCGTGTCTCATAAGTGACCTCATGTAAGGTGTTGTATTTGGAACCTTTCGCAGAAGGTTGCCAACAAGAATATTTCTGGACGTCAGAGTAGGAAGCGGGGAGTCTTTTTGATTTTTGGCAAATTTCCCCTGCTGTTCCCTGATTCATCTGAGGAAAAGGCTCAGGGGATTCATTTGAAATTTTGCTTTAGAACTAGACACAAAGGTTTGTACCTATTTTTTAAAAGGACTAAGGTAGCTTTCAAAATATCATTTTGATAGAATATTAAATTTGGCCAATGAAAGTGAAAGATTTGTTATTTTCCCATTTGATGACATCATGTTTGGTTTAGCAAGTGTTTTTCTCATAGTGTATTTAGAAGAGTATTTGTGTTGGCATTCCTTAGTTATATGCACATAAATAATGAAAATTTTCATTATTTTAATGACATTGGTTGTACTTTGAAAAAATTGAATTTATTCACATTATCTGACTTTTAATTATCTCTATAACTGAACGAAATCTTTTATATGGGGACTAATATATGTAATCTTATTGATATTATTTGAGTTGTTAACTGAAGTACACTTAGAACCAATTGAGCAAGCTCAAGTTTAAAACCTTGTCACGCTCTTTAGCTTAGCCCGCTTTTTTTTAAACATAAGTAATTAGAGATTTGTAAATACAAAACCAAACTTTAAAGGAAATCAGCAGCGTAGATCATTTCTTAGTTTGTCCAAAATACCTACATCTTCAACCGAAGAAACTGATAATGTAGAAAGTCACTTATTCAGCACGAAGTGTGAATATTACCTTGGCTGTTAGAAAAAGTACAACACACAGGCATTTGGTTTTTAGAACTTAATACTGAAAACCCATTCGAATGCTTTCTGCGGGCTGCGAAGCTTCGCGTGGTGGATAACAGGACACCGCTGGTTCTGATGGATCTGCTCCTCAGAAAACTCGGTTGAAAGGAGGAAAACACTGAGAGATATTATCATAACTGACCGGATGGTTTCTGTGCAGGGAGATCCTGCAGGAGTACGCGGAGAGTCAAGAAAGCGAAGAGAAGAAGGCTAAGCTGGAAAGGGAGGAGAAGCGGAGGGAAGAGGACACCCGGAAGACGCATTACCTCCTCAGCACGAAGCAGGTGGGTCCCCTGTCCCTGACAGCTCCGCCAGCCCCCCTGGGCCCTCGGCTGACAAAGACAAACTAGCAGGCTGAGTGGGAGCTGACCTGTTGAGAAGATACCGCGAAGACATTACCTCGAGTTCAATTTCAGGCGTCGTCCTGGTGCTGGCAGCACCGTGACTCCTGTGCGACAGCGTCTCACGGAGGCGCTGCCTCTGGCTGGGGAGAGGCCCAGCCAGCAGTGTGACCCGCCACCGCCCTGACGCAGCACCGAGGGCATCGCCTGGTTCCCAGATCATCCCCAAGGCCGAATCGTTGTGAGCTGACCAGGCGCTAACACCTTATTAAGTGGAGGAGGCTCCCGGGTTTGCTTAGTGGAGCAAATGTCAAGATGGAAACACCCTTCCGCCCTCTCCTAGGTTTTGGTGGGAGTTTTCAGGTAAAGCTACTAATACAGTTTCTTCAGCAGTGAAGTCTTCGTATAGAAAAATGTGTGTAGAGCTTGAGAGACTCAGAAATTTACTCTCATGTAACTTGCTAAAATATCAGGAACTCAGATTTTGCCATGATTGCTCGGAAAGACTTCCTTGCTTGTAGAACATTGTGCTCCAAGACAAAACATGGTTTTAAAATGTGCGAACTGGGAACCCAGGCGTTAATTTTCTCACAAACCTTCAAGGTCTCGGCAGTCATATATCCAAGTCTTCAAGGGTGGGCGAAGCAAGCCACCCTAGGGGAGGGGAGCCCCAAGGCCCTGCTCGCTTCCTCCTGTTACTGGTGGAACTTTGTTGGCAGTCTATAGCGGGGTCTTGGTTTGGTGCCTGCTCTGCATAGCCCCCATTTTATACGGGCCTTCCCAGAACTCAGGACCTTGTAGGTGAAATCATGTTCTCCACTCATCTTCCTTTGAGCAGAATATTATAAAAATAGCCAGCACTTTAGTCTGGCCCTGGCACGTTGTTGTACCGGTCTTCATATTTGCAGGTAGGGAGCTTTCAAGACAAGAGGGTGATACTGTAAACCTATGGAGATACAGACTTTTTATTTTTATATATATATTTGTTGGTGACAAAATAGAGTATTATCTTAGTGTCTCATCTGTTCCTTTTGTTCAGAGCGTTAGTTGTACTGACTGGATAATCCTGGAAAATTTATGTTTTACTGCTCATAGCTCACAAGATTTGCTTTATTTAGATTTAAATCAGTATTCTTCATCATGATATAGAGGTTGAATTTTAAATCTATTGCAAGCCACAGTGGTAAACGATATCTATCTGGACAAAAGTGTGCAATGGTAAGATTTAGTAGAGTGGACGTACATCTTCATCGGTCGGTTACTCCAGTCTGGCTTGAGCACCTCTTCTCTGTTTGTAAGTGTGAAGACTTCAGTATATGTAGACGTGCTCAGTATGATTTCACTGATGCAATTTACTATTTTGTTCTATTTTAATCAGAACTTTTGTGTACTTTTCCTGAAGTAAGGGAGATTTAGAAGGGAAGACAGACACTTGAATGAATATTGCTATTTATTTTCTCAGCAGGACTTGGCTATTGGGTAGGAATTAAACTGTTGATTTAAAAATATTCCTCAGTTGTTTAGATTAACTTGCTTGTTCTGAGAGTTTTTATTTCAAATTATGTATATTAAATGAAGATTGTGTACAAGATAAGTCAAATAACTTTATTTTTAAAGACTTGAATTTTGCTTTAGTTTTCAGTTTCTGGAGATATCTGAAAATTGACCAAATATTCAAGTGTAAACAATTGGTATGAAATGTATATCATGATAGGAAAACGTCTATCAACCTGATTAAGAAGAATCAACCCAGCATTTTTAGCATTTTTAGCAAAGAGACACTATTTTTATTGAAATTGTCAGTAGTTTAGTAATGCTATTATTAGTGTAGTTTATAAAATACTAAGTTTTGCACTAAATTTTCATAGTTCTAATATACTTTAACTTAGATGAGTGAAAGCAAAACATTAATTTAAACTAATAATATTTTTAAAAGGTGAAGAATCTCATAAGCTAAAATTGTGTTTGTGAATCCAGACATAGATAATGAATGAAATAATGTGTTAATCTATTAATAACTGTGAATTACTTTGCTGGTGTATTGATATATACTGACCACGAAGCTTTAAAATCAGCTTTAAGCCTATTTTTAGAATAAACATAATGCATGTTTCAAAATAATTCTACAAACTATTGCTAATTTTTATAGGTATTACTTATCTCATCTTTATTCAAGCAAATATGTTTGCACTAATAGGAATTACACAAGTAAATAACCAATATTGCAATGAGTGAATTAATAGACCCCTTAGGGTTTTATTAATTAAAAAGTTCAAGTCATATGAAAGCACCTTTTGAATATGTTTATTTCAATCAGAAAGCTAAACACAGTAACTTATTTGCATAAATAATCAATCACCATTTACTAGTAGTAATAAGGTTAATTTGCTGCTACAGACATAATAGGATTACTCAATTATATTTCCCAGAAAATACTATTTGCTATGCACCCCATCACCTATATAACAGGATTGAGTTTAGTGCCCTTATTAAATGAACACATCAAAAAATCTTCATCCCTGTAAAAGTTTTTTTGAAAGGAAAGCTAATTTTAGTTGATTTGAGTAAAGTAAAATGCAAGCATTGCCTCCATTTGTAAATTTAATTTATCTTCCTGCAAAGATTGATTATTTCATAAAGTTGTTTATTTTGATTCAGTGACCAGTCAGGCTAAATCTACCACACATAGGACATATTTCCTTTGAAGAAAATCTCATTTGCAAATTTGTGTTATTCCAAGTAAACTGACTTTCATTGCCTTGCTCTTGTTCTTGGGTAATAAATTATGTTGTCTGCGCCCCCTGCTGGTGGAATGTGCAAAGCCCTGCTTTCGATTCTTCCAGGATCCCGCCTGTAGCGATTCCACCTCTGCCAAGCTCCTCCTGGGGATGGGAATTACGAGACAGGTTTAAAACTCAAGATCCGATTGTAAACTCTAAGGTTTCCAGATGAACGTTATTATATAGAATTATTCGCAGTTATAGTTACACAATTAGTAAAAATGTTGCCCTATTTTTCACATTAATATGGTAATAAAAAAGACGAATAAGTATACAATACACAAATCACTTACTATACCAGTATCTCGTGTTGGTTAAGCAATTTGACAATTTATACACACTCAAATCAAAACTAAAATAGAAAAGTTTTGTCTTTAAAAATGTACACATTTATTATATAAATAATTGTAAGGTCATCATTTATATAATAGGTTTTGATGTTTTTCCTTTAACATGTAGTGACAATTTTCATATAGATATAGAGATAACTATTTTCAGTTACTTAAGATATATAAAAAAGACTACAGTGGTTAATATAGATAAAACATTATTTTGAAATAATTCTTGGGAGAAGTAAAGTGTTTCATCCACTTTTTTCAAATTCATATCAAATTAGATTTGTATAAAAAGCACTTCACCACCTGCCTCGCCAGTGCAAGGACCCAATTTCAATCCCCAGTATACCCCCAAAAAACTATATCTTAATTAGAAATTAAACTTGTTATATTCCTAATAAACTAGTAGTCTGTTAGTATAGAAAGCATGTTTGTAAAACAAATCTTACATAATTATTACATTGAGAACTATTAAATTCTTCCCAGCCCTTTGTTGCTTTCAGTTCTGTCTTCCTAGTGTTACAGGTGGAGAGATGCTATGCCCTTGTAGGTGTGTGTGTGTATGGGGTGTGCTGTGTGTCATGTCCTTGTGAGGTCTATTTGAAAATCAGCTTTGGACTGACCCTCAATGTAGGAAGCACAAAGGTAATATTAAAATATACCTGGTAATGTATTTTAAAACCTCTTGATTCCTATCTAAAAAGCCATTTATTTAACTTCAAAATATTATTTTATTTGTCTTATTTTCTTGGTTTGGTCTCTGTGCACCTCTCTGTCTCTCCCCCCACCCCATATGATACACATGCAGAGATGTGTGTGTGTGCCTGGCTTTTTATGTCTATCTGTAGCACATTCAACAAGGAGAGATGAAAGGTGCTGTTCATGCCACAAGGCATTCATGCAGCGTTTTGCTTCAGCTATTAGGCTCTTTTCAGCGTATTTTCTTCTTATTTTCCAAATCAGTCTTTATTTTTAAAAAAATAATGTGATTGTAAACTCTCCTATTATCCAACTCTCGAGGTAAATGGCTTTCTTCATTTTTATTCTACTTCTTTTAATTAGTCATTCCAGCTCCTTAAGGTCAGTCCCTTTATTTCCATTCCCTTATATTTTAGAGCAATGGTAATAGCCTCCAAAATGATTTGCTTTCGGTTAAGTCTTTTGCCTTTTAACCTTGTGGACTTACTTCTCTCAGATAAATCTTTATGTTTTAGTTACTTTTCTCATTGCTGAGACAAAATATCCAACACCCAAAGTTTAAGGCAGAAAGCTTTCTTTGGCTCACAGTTTGTAGATATTTCGGTCCATAGTGGTCTGGCTCCAAGGCAGAGTGGCCTGGCAGAGGGGCATTGCAGAGGAGAAACAGTTCATGGCAGGCAGAAGGCAGGAAGCAGCTAAGTAGTGAAGAAACAGCCAGTGACAGGCTACAAGAAGCAAGCGACATGTAGCAACCCTTTGTGCGCCCCTCATATTCTATCCAGGCTATCCAGCCTTAGGGCAGGTAACACTTACACCCAGGGTGGTGCAGCCTTTGTCCCAGCACCACACCCTGAGTCAAACCCAGCATCACATCCTTAATCCCAGCGTCACACACCCTAGATTCGGCCACCTCTGAAAAGCCCCACCTGTGACTGTGCAAGGCTTTGGGGGACATTTAGACATAATCGCTAACACTTTCTCAACTAGCACTTTAAATTCCTGTTCTCTTTGTAGTTTACAAACCTCCAGAGATTACCTGTTCTTACCGTAAAATCTGTACTTTTCCATGTAAGCATACAAACTCTCCTTAACCTGCCTCATTTGCTCCTCAATAAGAATACCCTAGCAT